TCTAAGGTCCCTTCCAGCCTGGGCCATTCCAGGATTCTGTGAACTTTTATGTTAGAAACTTGTGTGAGAGCGCAAGTTTCACATTTGCTCAAACTTTTATGTTAGAAACTTGTGTGAGAGCGCGAGTTTCACGTTTGCTCGTTTTGTTGAATGAAGTAAGTGCTTGTACAGAAACTTTCCTATTTATGTGTGAATTAAGTGGTTTATTAAAGCGTAACAATCCATCTGGTCTGTGGTAGATGTCCTATATGTTATTTTTAAAATCGACTATACCAGTAAAATAGGATGAAAGAGCCATTGGTCTCCAGGATGTAATGGTTGATGTGCTTTGCAGTCTTTAGTGAGGACTCGTTGTAGAATCAGCCCAGTATTTGTTTGCATCAAACCATTACTTTATGTCTGCATTTACTATTCCACATGGCAAATTTGTACATGAAGAAAACCTCTCACTTTTTTTGAGTTGTCTAATGGTATTTTAACATGATTTTCCTCCAGCACATGTTTGTCTTGGCATCTCTTTTTGTGCCTTTTTGGGTGAAGAAGACTAGGCAGAATGGAAAAGGATGATCTTACTTTGCAAGCAGAGCATTGTTTCCATCACCTCCCTGTTTAACCAGAACAGAAGGAAGGGCTCCTCACCTGCCTGTAATATTTTAAGCACGGCTTTAGTGCTGGGGCTAAACTGTTTGGAGGGCTGGTTGTGCACTATTCATGCTTAGTTTCCAGGCTGACCAGCTGCCTGGAAATAAATTTGTTTCTAGTCAGGTTTGAGTTCACTAAAGCATCACAACTACATCCCTGGCTTCTTTTGCTTCAGTGTCTCTACAGGTAAGTAAAGAGAGCAGAAATTCAATAGCCTTCTTTGGGAACAAGTGAAGAAAATCAACTTATGACAGTTATTTGCCTGAAACATTTGATTGTGCTTCCCCTTTTAGAATATAGATGTGTTTATGCTGTGAAGGTGGAAGCCGTGTGTTTCTCTCTTATTGCTGGCTGGTTGATGCGGCTGCTTATCCGGAAAGAAAAGGAAAAAGAAGCTTGCTGTTTGAGGCTGCTGAAGATGTTCTTTGCATGAAATACATCTGAAGTATTTGCCTCCCGGTTCACTTCTGAGAGAGATTAGTCCAGGTTAGCAGCAGATGAGGTAAAACCGCTCACTGGCAAAGGTCAGGACGGGTTATCTGCCCTGGCCAGGCTGGTGTGTGCGCACATGCGTACGTTGACCTTCACGGAATTGCTGTTTGACTCCAGAAATAGCCGTGTGGTTAACAGTCAGGGGTCCACCTGTGAGCCGAGCAGAATGTCAGAAATACTGATGAGACAATAAATTTTTTGTCCAAAACCAACAGAAAAGATTCGGTTCAAAAGCTCCTTCCTAGAAGTAAAGGTCAGGGAGGACAATACAGAAAGAAATACAGATTTCTAGGAATCCTTGTAATAGTGAGAGCTGCAAATCCTTTTCTTTTGGGGCAGTTCTCCTATCAGCTATCATTAACATTAATAGTGAGGTGTGCTCTGGCTATATTGTTTGGTATCTGTGTGTGTTCATTTAGTAGGCTGGGAACTTATTCAGTAAAATCTTTATTAATTAATAGAAGTTCTTCCTTTCTTACAGCTTATGACTGTACAGCAATGAGTTAGCAAGTAGCTGAACAAGCAGGAAACAGTATCTCAGCTGCTCAGGACAGAGAATTTGTCCTATTAAATATTTAAATGCCCTCACCCAAACATCTCTTCTTTTTTTTTAAAAAAAAAAAAAAGCCTAACATAATCAGATCTGTATATCTTGTCTCTTTTCCTGAATGGTTTAGGATGTGTTCCAGCTGCCAGAGATGGCAGCTGAATTCACCTTCCAAACGTGGCTGGGTCGTGTGCCAGACTGTGAGTGGTGTTTCAGACCAGTTAAGTCACGGAGCAAAATCTCAGCTTGTCTGGAGCACTTGAGTTCCAACCATTTACAGTTGTACTCGGAGAAAAAAACGGGGAGAGGGGTCTGGGGGCAGAAGAGTAGGATTTTGCACGCGTGCACGATGCAACGCGGGAGCGCGGAGGCAGGGAGCAGAACTTTGAGGAAGCGCCTGAGCCCCAGCGGTGAGTGGATTTGTAAAAAGTGACAGCGAACAAGATGCAGTGGGTGGATCCTCGGTAATATCCAAATAGGAGACAAAACTCTTGCTCAGATCTTCTCTCACTTTGTGTCTGTGCTTCATTCAAGAATCTTCTTTCAACGTCCATCTGCGTTTTGTGTTATATCAAAACCAGTTGTGTTCCCCTTGCGGAGGCTGCGTTACGATGTTGAGAGTTATTTTATGTTTCTGTCAGCTTGCTTCAAATGTGTGCAGCACATCCCTGAAATACCTGGTAGCTGTCATGTTGCTTTGAGGTTGTAAGTGGATGTCTTATGCTTACTTTAAAGGTAGTTTCTTAAACTATAATATTAAAGGGGTAAGAATGCTAAACTCCAAAGGAAATTTTATCCGTGCTTAGGCTGGAATAACCTGAAGAGGCGTCTGGTCATTCAGGGTGAGTTAGCAGCTCATCATATAATTTATTTTGTTCCCCTCTAGATTGAATCCAGAATTTGAATATAGAAAAAGAAGAAGGAAAAATTCCTGGAAATACGTGCATGGTTAGAGCTCGTGATAAGTCTGTGTAATTTTTCTTGTGACTACGTTGTTTTCAGATTCACAGAATTTGACAGCGTTTGCTTCCTGTTCCAAAGGAGCTGCTCCTGCACAGCCCGTAGGGGAATCTGTACTGACCTGTTGTTAAAGCGTGTTGTGTTTTTTTTCTTTTTTAATTTCTTGTAGGCTGGAGTGAAAGGGACGTTAGGAAGATTAGTGGGAATTTTTGAGGTAAGTTTCAGACACTGAGGCTGTGATATTTTGGTGCAGAAAATTGTTCGGAGAAAAACTTTGAACTCTCCACTTAAATAAAAATGCACACCGATCCTTCGGGTGATTATTGATCATCTGCAATTTCCACTTCACTTGAAATCATGAGCGATAAGCCAGCGTAACAGGGAATAAACTCAGTGCCTTCCTACCTCTCTTGTGGCAAGACAAAGCCAGCTGGGAGCGGTGGCTCTTGGGTTTTTAGCACCTCCCATCACCCAAAGTGGCCCCTGCAACACGGTGAAGCGTGTGTGCTCCTGTGAGGAGTGTGGTGACCCCTCACGAGGACTGGTGGGACGCACAATCACCAGGTGACCAGGCACAGCTCTTCTTACAGTTGGTTTCTCCATAACTATTTCAGAGTTGTGTGAAGTACATAAAAAAAATCTTTGCCGTGTTTGCGTTTTTCCAGCTGAGGAACTGATTTATAAGCACGTGCATCCACTAAATAAAGCTTTGCAGATTAGGAATTAGACTTTTTGGCTGCAATCCCTATTAATACTTTCGGACCTCTATAGCGCAGCAATTTTTAACAACTAAGAACAAGCTCTAACGTGAGAGAAGCTGCACGTAAGGTACCGCAGCATCATGACAAGGCACCTTGTAACTTGTAGTTGCCATGTGCCCACCTTTTTTCTTTTTTCTCTCCTTTGGTAGCTCGGTTGTTATTCTGTTCCCTTTACTTTCTAGAATCGGGACAGGAAACACAGGACATATGTTTACGTACTTATCGTCACAGAAGTGTTGGAAGACTGGGAGGACTCTGTCAATATTGGTAAGATCTTTTTGTGCTCGCTCGTGCTGGCTGGTTTGATGCAGGCAAAACACATCGACATCCCTGTGAGAGCTGGGATCCTCGTGAGAGTGGTCAAGAAAAGTTGCGGTGATGTGTCCTTTCGTTGCTTGGGAAAAAAATTATGGTCAGCTTGATGCTTTTTTAACCTCAAGAGAAGTCGGTTCGGCTGTGCAGCTGCCTCGACAGCAATTTTGTATTTAATTCTTGCACTTCAAGATACTTAACAAAGAGCGTGAAGAGCTGTCCTTTCTAAGACCAGAAGAAAATATATGTGGGCAGGGTGGATTAATCATTCTCTGCTATCTTTTGAAATCTTTGTGTTCAAATCGGGTTCCCAAATGAAGCTGAACATGTGGTTTTGCCCAGGGTTTGTCAGGAGCACTGCGCCAACTGTAACTTGACTTTCTCGAGTTATTCTTGCAGCATTAGGCGCGTGATAATGACTGAAAGCTAATTAACAGCAATGTTTAAAGATAGAAAGGGTCGTTTTGTGGCATCTAGTGATTTTTTTTTTTTCTTTCTGCCCACAGGAAGGAAAAGGGAATGGTTTAAGATAGAAGATGCCATAAAAGTTCTGCAGTATCATAAACCGGTGCAGGCCTCGTATTTTGAAACCCTGAGGCAAGGCTGTTTGGCAAACAACGGCACTCCTGTCATGACCACGACGTACTCTGAGAGCTCCGTGTCTGACATCAGATGACTGAAGACGTTCCTATGAGAGAAATTTTGAAAACCAGACTGAAACATGGATTTCCTTCCCCCTTCCCCTTTTTCACATGCCTCCTCTATCAAACAAGGCATGGGCAGCAGCCTGTGGCAGAGCAAGTGTTAAGAGTGCCGCAATTTAGTGCAAGGTGGGATTTTCTTTTTTGTTGGCTTTTTTTTTTTTTTTTGACTTTTTTTTGGATATGTATTTTGTAAAATACATTTTGTGCATGAAGTGCCCCTTTCCCGTTACACCGCTTCCATGGCCTGGCGAGCGAGGCTGCCAGTTCCGCCTCTGCCTTGTGTTCTGAAGTGTCCCATTCGTGTCCTCCCAGCCATAGCCACTTTTTTTTTTCCCCCCTCCTCTTTTTTTTTTTTTTTCAGTTAAAAGACTTCAAATGTGAGATCAGCTCTTTAAGTCTTAGTCTGTACTGTAAGGTGCTGTTCAGACCTGTGTGGTGGTCACTTCCAGCACGTATGTATAAACTTTTTTTTTTTAGATGGAGAATCTAACATTTTAATTTTGCGGGAATTTTTTTTTTTTAAACCTGGTCTGCTTCTGAAAAGAAGGATTCATAACTAATCTGTTTGCCTTCTTTTGTTCTGGTTTTTTTTTAAAAAAAATAAGCATTCTGTGACAGTGCTAGTGGCTGGGCCAGTTTACTCCCCATTCGGTATCTCCTTGTTTAGTGCAGTGACACTTGAAGTTGAGGGCAGAGTTTTGGTCACCTGCAGACATCCCTGCTGCTCCGTTGCTTCTCCTACAGCTTCCGCCAGCGTTTCTGCATTTACATCAAAACGAAAGAAAAAGGAGTTGGTCTGGTAACGCTCGGCCAAAAATAAATAGCCTCGGAAAGGCTACGGTAGAAACTGCGTTTCTGCGGTGGGAATCGGGGATTCAAAGTGGGGTCAAAGTCTGACAAACTGGAGCGTCACTCACCAACGCTGTTCTGCTGGTCCTGCTGCGTTCCGCTGGTGTCTCTCCTCGTCCACATGCCTTACACCGCGCTGAACTGGGTACTCGTAATTTGTGCTAAAGCGTCGGACTGTACTCACCCCGCGGTTGGAGAACCATGCGTGTCCCTGAAAAGAAGTCCTGGGGGAAAAAATTCGGGTGTTCAATCTCTTGTCCTGTGGTCCTGCAGCACTTACAGTCGCACCATGGAGCATGCTCAGAATGTTTAAGCTCTCCCTCGGTGAAAGGTGCAGCTGACTCCCGAGCGGAATCGCTGGCTGGAGAAGCGCAGCGTGTCGTAGGATAGTTCCCCTGATGCGTTGGCACGCTTCACATGATTCTTTTTTGTTGTTGTTGTTTTTATCGATGTAAGTTTCATGCTGTCTTGATTTGCCAACAGTGTTGTCTAGTTGGGAAATAAAACGGGAAGGGTTGGGGCTGGGGGTGGGTTGGGACAGGTACAAGTTTTGGGAGGGGCATTAATTAATCCCTGGCTTGGGACAAGAAGTAGTTGCTGAGTTCAGTAACTTCTCCTTTGTCAGAGCACAGCCAAGATGTGAAATTAAATCTGCAGTACTCTTTTTTTTTTTCTTTCTTTTTTTTTTTCCTCCTCTTTATTTAACAAAAAAATACTCTAATAAATACTCACTGTTCCAGAGTTCTCTCTCTTCCCAAGAAGCGCTTACAATATGAAAATCTGATAGAAATATCCATGGAGCCTGGGACGAGGGGGAATGGTATCCTTGCTGGTTTGGCAAGAAGCTGTTTATTTTAAGATCCTATTCTGTTCCTTTACTTGTTCTCCCTGTTTTCATCAGTGAGGAGTAGCAAGGCCAAAAGCAGTGCCAGTGATCGCTAACACGAAAAACCACGCATAAGAACAAGCTGAGAGGCGTTATTCAAGAAGTAGCTTGAAACCGAGCGTCTGGAATCGAGCCTAAATTACACCAGTTCAGTTCACTTCAACTTAGAGACGAATGTACAATACTTTTTCTCACTCTGTGCTGATCGGCCTGAACCAAACTCTCAAAAGGGCTTGAATATTGTATCTGGAAGCGTACAAGAAATTCACACAGTCTGCTGTTACCGGGCCGTGAGTGGCACCTACCGCAGCCATCTACTGCCTTCAGTTGAGTTTTTGTCTTTTACTGTACAGATTAGTATGTTGAAAATGCTTTGCAACAAAACAGCTGGTACTCCTGAAAGAGTAACTGCAGTTTTAATATCGAGAGCATGCACACTTCTTTTTGTTTTTAAACTAAAAATGTTTTTACAGGGCTGTAAAACTGACACTTTAGGGTTAGAATATTGTTAATGACTTGCTGATGGCTTATTTGTTTGGGTCAGAAAAAATAAATTGTGCCAAGAAAGTGGTTTAATGTGGCATGAATTGATGCTGTTAATGCAGTAATATCGAGTGGCTGATACGATGCCTTCTTAACTGGAAATAGCTCCTGGGGTAGAAATAGCCTTTATTCAACAAATGTGGATTTCGAAACAAGCCTTAGTCCTGCGCTCCCCGAATCTCTCCCTGCCCCACACGACTTCCGATCTTCCTCAGCATCTGAGCTTCTTCTCTTGTAACCAGGAGAGCTGCGTGCCCTAGCAGTCGAAGCGATTTTATCCAAAAACCATGTTACATTGGTTTGGGACCGACAATCAAAACTACCTTTATTAGCAACAAAAACGCTTGTTCCGAGGACGGTGAGTGCGCTCTGAGTTGATCCAACTGCTTAGGGCTGCTGTCGTGACCAACTGCTAAAAAAACCCTGTAGGATTTAGACTCTGACTTCCAGCGTTGCTAAAACTGGTGCTATATGGAGCTAGTGTTGGAGCTAGTGGGATCCTTACCTCAAAGTGGCCAGCCTGACCCCCTAACCCGAGCGTTACGGTGTGCCTCAGCTTCCCGTTGAAGAATAATGTTCTTAGTTTGGCTTTCAGTGTAGATTTGATCTTACTGGGCGCTGGCATATTCGTAGGTAGAACGGAGGAACTACCGACGCTTCGTTTGGACTCCCTGCAGTTCAGCAGCGAGTTGGTCAAGTCCCCCTCAAGTCGTGGGCTTTGGATGCTTGTCTTGGTTCTCTGAAACCCAGGCTGCGATAAATCCCTGGTGTGTTGGTGATGCCTCCAGCTTAGAGGGGCCACCATTAATTACCTTTTGGCTCATCTCTGAACCCCAGGGTCACGTGAAACGCTTCCAACAACTTCCTAGGAGTTATCTTACTATAAAGATTACTTTTTCCCTTGCTTTTCTTCCATATACCGTGGTATGTATAAGGACACCTCGCTATTGATATGTCAAGAAGCAAGCCTGCCTGTGGCGAGGAAACGGGGGAAATTTGTTGGCCCTTGAAACACCCGAGCGCTGGATTTCTGTGTGCACCCAAGCGTCGCAAGGTGGTGATGAAGAAGGAAGAAGAGGGAGGCCCGCGGCTCGGCGCGGGGAGGTTCTCTCAGCAGTTCCCATGTTTCGGCATTGATTTCCTTCCCCTGGTATTGTCCAAACAGAAATCCTCGTGTGGCGGAGTTGCGTCCTGCCATCTGGATTTTTAAATGTATTTTGAGACTTTAATGGGAGAAGAGAAATGCATTCGGTGCTTAGACATCACTGCTTAGCATGGTGACCTTTTACAGAAATCGGGTTCCCTGTCACGGGATACATTTGGGAGAACGTCCTGGGTTTCTGTTGTGGCAGGAGGATGTTAGCTGCTGGTTTAAGCTGGTGCTGGTGCTGTGTACTCGCATTCAGCCCCAGCATGGGAGGAGGAAAAATCAAAAAAGGAAGACACCCCCAGGGTGCCAGTGTCCCAGCAGCTGCTGCTTGGCTCTTCCAGCAGGATTTGGCAGCTCCTGTGTCTTTTCTGATGATCTTAAATGATGCATTAAACTTTTAAGGGGCGGGTGGACATCCGTCTGCAGAAGGGCATCGAGTGTAATTAAGTGTGGCGGAGCTGAAATCCTACCTGTTGAGTTCTAGGACGTTTCTAAGGTTTTGGTAGGTGGAAAAGGGGTTTCAATGCGTTGATTAACATCAGCCTAGAAATTGCGTGCGGTAGGAAACAGCCAGCACCTTGGTCTTGAAGTGGTTACCCTAAGATGGTTTTTGGGTTTCAAGTTTGGCTTTGCTCACGCTGAGGCTTTTCAAAGGCACGTTTCTAAAGGAGGAACTTTTTCAGTTAGAAGTAACGTGCATCGTTTTCTGTTTGGTGAAGCTTTTAATCGGTGTGCCGAGACTGGTGCCTGGCTGTGATGTGACGTGGCTGGGCGCGGGAAGGGACACCTCTTCCTGGGACATGCCTTAAGAAGAGTGAGAGGAGGTGGGTTTTTTCCATTTTCCCTGAAATCTGGCGTTCGGTGCTGTGAAAGTGACTTTTGGTTGCCTCACAAAGATGGATCGTTTCATTCTAGACAATAGTTGACTGGTGATAGAGAAACTCGGTGTTGTTGTGGTTACAAAGCCAGGGGAGTTTGTACCTCCTTTATCTTTGCAGTGTTTCTCCTTCCTACCAGCACTGGCCGAGCTGTTTCGTGCTCCCTCAGGGTTACCCAGACCTGCTCTGGCAGAGCTCAGCAAACCCTTGCTCAGGGCTTCAGTGACTTCTTAGAAGTACGAGGGCTTGGCGTTTGCCTCTCCAGGTATATCACTTGGCAGAACATTTCTGTGAGTTAACGGCTACTTTGCAAACTAAAAACGAGGAATTTTTTTCAAATGGAAAATAAATGCATCAGGCTTTGAACTCCTTAGGACTGCGGCAGTGGGAGCTGAGAGGGTGCAGGGTGTAACGGCGATCTTTCTCGCCAGCCCCTGAATAGGGTGAATGTTACTTGCTTGTGATTTTGAACTCTCAGAACAAGGTATGTATCCTTTGAGTGATTTTACAGCTGAAATGTCCGGATGTGAATCTCTCAAAGAGGGACGAGGCTGGTCAGTGAGCGTAGGGCAGTTGCATCACCTGCAGCAAAAAGATAATTGAGAAGTTGCTGACGGTTAGCTCACGTGTTTGTGTTTAAGGATAGATTTGTGATTTTACCGTGTTCTGTGTACGTTACACTCTAAGAAGCTCTTCGGTTTCCAGCTGAAGGGAGCCCAGCCAGGGCTCTCCTCCGATAACACCTCTTGCCTTGCTTTGCTCTAGGACAGGTGAATGCATTTGCCGTCTCTCTGCGCTTTTTATAAAGAACTCCTTTAGGTTGTGATCCCTTT